AGGGAGAAGCTGGTGGAGGAGGAAGAGGGGGAGAAGGGAGAAGGTGGTGGAGAAGGAGGAGGGGGAGAAGCTAGTGGAGAAGGAGGAGGGGGAGAAGGGAGAAGGTGGTGGAGAAGGAGGAGAGGGAGAAGCTGGTCGAGAAGGAGAAGGGGGAGAAGCTGGAGGAGAAGGAGGAGTGGGAGAAGGGAGAAGCTGGTGGAGAAGAAGGAGGGGGAGAAGCTGGTGGAGAAAGAGCAGGGGGAGAAGCTGGTTGAGAAGGAGGAAGGGGAGAAGCTGGTGGAGAAAGAGGAGGGGGAGAAGGGGAGAAGGTGGCTTCTCCCTTCTATACCAGCTTCTCCCTTCTCCCCCTCCTCCTTCTCCACCACCTTCTCCCCCTCCTCCTTCTCCACCAGCTTCTCCCTTCTCCCCCTCTTCCTCCTCCACCAGCTTCTCCCTTCTCCACCTACTAGTACTACTCTAAACTTCCTCCTCCCTCCCCCTCCCCCTCCCTACACTGCTCCTTCGCTACCTAGCTGTACCAGAACTTGGCATGGCAGAACTTGGCAGAGTGTGCACAAGCTATCGTAACACAAAGACGAGCTGTCATTGGTCGGGTCGGGGCGGGGCGGGGCTATCTCATATATTTCGCACTCGTCAGATATTTCGCTTGACACCGGTCGTGTAAAACCAGTCACATTCTACCGGTCATAGGTGGATACGATGGAGAGTTATAACAACCCGTCACGAGTTTCGCCCGGTTATGTATATTTGCTATGGAGTACACCGGGTAACCGATCGTGACGACAGCCTTCATGAACCGGGCGAATATATTGACCTATAATGCAACCTGAGGCGTGTTCATATGGCGCGAATGATTTGAGTTACATTTCTATAAATTCTAGCTATTATAGACACATGTCTTAGCTATAATCTGTGAATTTTGAGTTTATTGAAGCACGATTAGTCTAATTAATTAGCAAATATGCATGCGCGGTATCGCTCATAGGCTAATACACGCGCGGCTATGGCCGGTGTAAAGAAACGTCACGAATTATATTTTTATCCTCCAGTCACAGGTCGGAGCAATTCCTCTGTTTAGACGCATGTATCGTGAGGGAAAAATAAAATTATCTAGCATTATATCATATATGCTATAATGATTAAACATGAGGGAATGCCAATCTTCACCTGACCACATATTGCATGTATATCGATCGTGTGTTCGTATTGCAGATCACGGAGATGAAGAAGACGAAGAACCTGGAATACTACGCGAAGTGGTTCAACCGCCTTAGCTATCTGGTCGCCACGGACATATGCCTGGTAAAATCACATTCGAAAATGCTATTCCTGCCTGGGCGCGGAATGCTTTTATCTATATTTATTAGCGCTGTCATCTCGTTGTGTAGATATGTTTTTTTTTTTTTTAAACATGGCAGCGTAATGTCCAATGGTTGGTCGAATATCAGAATCGACCAGAAATTTGATTCTCGGTTGGGTATCCAAAGCATCAATAAGCGCAAACTTCTTAATAACTTCTTAATAACTACTGTGCGTTTGCTTTCACTTACGATCGTGTGTTTTCACGTTTTCACTCTTGTCTATTTTTTCCAGAACGTCAAGAAAAAACAACGAGCCAAAATCATCGAGTACTTCATAGACGTTGCTAAGGAGTGCTTCAACCTCGGCAACTTCAACTCTCTCATGGCGATCGTGGCGAGAAGCTGGTGGAGAACGAGAAGGGGGAGAAGGCGAGTAAGCTGGAGGATGAAGAGGAGGGGAGAAGCTGGTGAGAAGGAGGAGGGGGAGAAGGGGAGAAGGAGGAGGGGGAGAAGCTGGTGGAGGAAGGGAGA